TGATAGTTGCCGTGGGAGAAGAAGAAGAAGCGTTGCTGTGGGAGGAGTTGATATTCATATTTATTTTTTTTACTGTGGGAGGAGTATGAGAGTGAAGGAACTCTTGTCGGAGACAAACTGTGAGAGTTGCGTTAAAAACAAAACAAAAAATGAGAGAATATTATGCGAGTTGACGACGATTGTTTAATTATTCAAGATGACGACGATTGTTGAATTATTCAAGATGACGATGATTGTTTAATTATTCAAGATGACGATGATTGTTTAATTGTTCAGGATGACGACGATTGTTTAATTATTCAAGATGACGACGATTGTTTAATTATTCAGGATGACGACGATTGTTTAATTATTCATGACGATGATTGTTTAATTATTCAAGATGACGACGATTGTTTAATTATTCAAGATGACGATGATTGTTTAATTATTCAAGATGACGACGATTGTTGAATTATTCAAGATGACGATGATTGTTTAATTATTCAAGATGACGATGATTGTTTAATTATTCAGGATGACGACGATTGTTTAATTATTCAGGATGACGACGATTGTTGAATTATTCAAGATGACGACGATTGTTTAATTATTCAAGATGACGACGATTGTTTAATTATTCAGGATGACGACGATTGTTTAATTATTCAGGATGACGACGATTGTTGAATTATTCAAGATGACGACGATTGTTTAATTATTCAAGATGACGACGATTGTTTAATTATTCAAGATGACGATGATTGTTTAATTATTCAAGATTAGTGTTCCAGTCAGAGAAACTCAGAAAATTAGCTTCCTTCTGATTTGTATTATGAGTTTTGTTAGAAGTTGAATTCCCCTCATGCGAGATAAGTGCTTGAAACACCGGTGAATAAGACCTTTGCAGATTTCAAGAATTTAAAACTTTCTTTACATATTTTTTTAAGCAATTGTAAAACACTTATTTTTGTCCTGGACAAGTTCAAAAGGAACGTAATACCAACGGAATGAAATGGGGGAATTAAATTCATGTTAGGTTTACCAGTGGTGCTGATCAACCGGAAAATTACTTAAAAAAAAATTGAAAGTATTAAAAAGGGCTTTGCGTGGAGTTGTGCATGCACCGCAGAGCTTGTGTGCGCCGGAGAGCTTTTGTGCACCATAGAGTTTGCATGCACTTATATATAGCTTGCGTGCATGGTATAGTTTGCGTGCACTGTGGGCGTTAGTGTCAATTTATCAGCCTTGCCAACACTTTGTTATTTTCGTGGGCCACATCGTCAGAATTGCCAATAAATTGGTTTTGAATTGACTCGTCTGCCTCATTCTGGGCGTCGATGCATGTGAGTGGGTGGAGGTGTGAGTGGGTGGAGGTGGGGTCGTTGAGTGGGTGGAGGCGGGGTCGTTGAGTGGGTGGAGGTGGGAGTCGGTGAGTGGGTGGAGGCGGGTTAGCCGGTCCCACCCATGAAGACTGTTTTACTTAGTTGTATCAACGGGAAGCGAGCTCCAGCTCTAAAGACCCGCCTAGTAGCTGCCCCCAACTATAAATATACAAATCAGACTTATATAAATCAAGTTATTGACTGATTGATTGTATCTTGTGCATACATAACTCACTTTGTTAAAGATCGGCCTCTCCTGTTGTTATCAATCCATCCCCTTCAAACTATTGGATACATTGCAGATATTTGGTCGAACGTACGTACATTTCTAGGCGTATTATAGCTCACAAATTACAATGTCATTTCTAGGGTTACGTATATTAGGTCTGGGATTGTTTATTTACGCCCATGGACATGTTAGGTTAGGCTAAGTTACGTTAGGTTAAATTAGGCTTTGGTAACATTTCCATTTTTTGTGTTGAATAATACAGTACGTGAACATTTTACAGCCCGTCCTCCACAAATGGTAAGGTAAATGAAACAGCACAGGTAAGTGCAATTATGTACTATTCATAGCAGTCAGGAATTGTAATTATTTTCACTTAGTATTAAATCGTACTGTCAAATATGTTGTGAATATTTGAGTTTACCTGAAAAGCTGAATAGAGAACTACGACCTAACCTAACCTTCTTAGTCTTTGAAGATATGGGCTGCAGCATTTTTAGGGTCCAACATTCCATTTTTATATGTTTGCTTCCACAACGTTAAGTTCAAGCTTACTCTACCTGCTCACCACACAAATTAATATTGCTTTACTGTCCTTTGAATCATGGCAAATGTTTAATTCTGTTTAACAAACTTAAAACTGTTCCCCTCCTAGAGCCCATATTAAGCCTAGTACTATTAGTTTTACATGGACCACAATCCACCAATTGGTTTACAACCAGGTCCCCAATTACTTTTGGGCGAATAGGGTCGAATAATTTAGAAGAGGATTCCATTCGTCCTTTTCTGCCAAGGATTCGAGTTATATCCTTGTTGAAAATATCAACTGAGCTGTTTTTATTATATTTTATTATAGTATCTCCACAGAAACTTCTTTATACACTGGAGATTAAAGGCGTTTGAAAAGGTATGGAACAATTCTTCTGGCAACATAATACACTTTCAAATTGAAACAACTTAACTTTCGTAGTAATGACAAAAGAAATTATTGAATATGCTCTACAGTTGTCACTACGTAAGAAAATATTATGTACTAAATTGTCCGAACCTAACCTGGCCGATGCATCCACGCATAGAAAATGGGGTTGTTTATGAATGCCTATGATTTATAGTGTATATAATATTTTGTCCGTTGGGAAATTTAGACGCCAAAATGCTATGTATTATTCGAGAGGACAAATTGGGGAAGATTATAAATTCGAAGTGTGGTCCTTTGGGAATTGCAGAGATGGATAATTTTCCTTTTAATTCCATCAGCATTTTTCTGCAGAAAATGAGTCTCCAGATGTGAGGTAGGTACATTAGACTGACAATTTAGAGATGATCTCTCGTCCCTTTGCCCCCAAAAGTTTCATTGGCAGAGGGAACTTGATCTCTTGTTGTGCAAGAAGACGTGATCTCTTCACCCTGTGCTGTACTGCGTTGTCTCTCCTCTCTGAACAGCCCGACCTCCTAAGGTTTCTCAACGTCAAGAAATTGTTGAGCTAAAGTGCCCTCTTCTGACCTACTAGAGAACCCAAAAACAGAAAACGGGACATAATAATTTCGCGAGCCGCTACCTTTTTCTAGTAAGACAATTGTTTGCCTTAAGTAGAGTATACGTCAAAATGCGACGCTCTGTTAGGACGGGAGACACGATTCCTCCGTTTTCTTGGAGCAGAGTAAAGGGAAATAAGTAATATATTTTAATTTAGAGAAGGGACTTCCTATCTTTTGTAAAGCCAATGTTCACCAAATCTCACCTCCCTGAACAATCAGATTCTCACTAACTTTCCTCCCTGCATAAACAGGTTCTACCTAATTCCTCGCCCTCAATAACCACGTTCACCCTAACTTCTCACCCTCAACAACCAGGTTCTCTCTAACTCTTCACCCTGAACAACCAGGTTCACCCTAACTCCTCACCCTCACCAACCAGGTTCACCCGAAGTCTGGTTGACCTATCCCGAGCGAGTGACTCACTCGTAACATGACTTTCTCTTTAAGCCACTTTTCTACAGTCCAACACAAGAGGAAATTACAATTCTCAGCGTTTTAAATAACTCATTCAGAAGTGCGAGACGTGACTGAGGGCCTTACCACCTTACCCACATGACGCCTGGGATAGTAATTGGGACTCCCAGGGGACCAGCACTCTGGCGACGTCAAAATATATCCCCAAACGTCTCCGGCTCACCGCCCACAAGACGCCTGGGATAGGAATCGGGGGTCCCCATCGTATCGATTTGGCTTCTATAGGAGTTTGGATTTTGAATTAAAACCTGATACACACACATACTAACAAGTTCACACACTCAAAGAAGTAAGTACCTTTTCATCTGTCAAAATCAAATAATAATTTAGCAATTTTCTTGCGAAAACTCCTCGTGGGAGCAGTGAATTTTATAGCAGAAAACTTTATATCGAATGTTGCCTATACTAAATCTGATGCAAACAACATAGGAGTTATATAGACCTCTACCACTATAAGGACGGTACTCAACAATTTGTACTTACCGAACTGTACTTGCGGAGAATTAAGCTGGGGCACCTTAGTCCCGATTTTCAATTTTCAATCAACTGGTGTACCGGTCTTTGAACCTATATTGGGCTCTTTCATACCTATATTCGAAAATAAGTATGGAATATGCTTGCAACACCTGACTCATTAGTGCATTCCATATGTTTTTAAGTTTCCTCTGAAATTTAAAAATTCGTTCTGATGTCTGTTGGGTCATTGGAGAATAGTTTCCACAATCGTCTCTGTGTTCGAACACCATTAATACTAAATTGTTTGGCCTATAAATGTCCCTGAAAACGTTCCACGTGGTATATCATGTCTCCTCTAATTCTTTTTTCTACCAGTGATGTAACATTTAATTCCTGTAACCTTTCCTCGTAACTCATTCTTCTTAGTTTTAGTTCTAGACTGGTGGTATTTATCTTCGACTAAAACAAATGGCACCTCTATGCCACGCTAATTTCAGGATTGGTCAGACGTGTGTTAGCATACACCGCTGATGATATCCGTTTGATATGGGCTTTAGAGTGACGGGTCTAGTGTGATATCAACTCACAGGCATGCCATCAACTGCCCGAGTTTTGTAGAGTTTCATCTTCCTTTTGATACCTCGTGTAAGGTCTCTCTGTTCGATACAGATAGTTTCGTTACTTTGAACAACGCATCAAAACTATTAGTGGAATATGTTGGACTATTCTTTCATTTTGTCTATGTTATTTTGTAGCTTCTTGTCCACAATTCATCACTGAAACAGAAACGCCGATACAACATCATTGAAACATAACTACAGCTACATCACCATTGAAACACCCTCTAATAAAGGGTTTCAACATCATCAATCGCATACAAAAAAAAATCATTCTTTTCGGCAATGTAATGACAGGTAAAATATTTAAAAAGAGCTCTCAGACTATATTACACGCTGTGCAATATTAGGCTGTTTAACTAGTGTGAAAGTGTGGGGACCGCATATGTTGACGGCCACATACGGAGGACCGCATATGTTGACAGCCACATACGGAGGACCGCATATGTTGACAGCCACATACGGAGGACCACATATGTTGACAGCCACATACGGAGGACCGCATATGTTGACAGCCACATACGGAGGACCGCATATGTTGACAGCCACATACGGAGGACCGCATATGTTGACGGCCACATACGGAGGACCGCATATGTTGACAGCCACATATGGAGGACCGCATATGTTGACAGCCACATACGGAGGACCGCATATGTTGACAGCCACATACGGAGGACCACATATGTTGACAGCCACATACGGAGGACCGCATATGTTGACAGCCACATACGGAGGACCGCATATGTTGACAGCCACATACGGAGGACCGCATATGTTGACAGCCACATACGGAGGACCGCATATGTTGACAGCCACATACGGAGGACCGCATATGTTGACAGCCACATACGGAGGACCGCATATGTTGACAGCCACATACGGAGGACCGCATATGTTGACAGCCACATACGGAGGACCGCATATGTTGACAGCCACATACGGAGGACCGCATATGTTGACAGCCACATACGGAGGACCGCATATGTTGACAGCCACATACGGAGGACCACATATGTTGACGGCCACATACGGAGGACCACATATGTTGACGGCCACATACGGAGGACCGCATATGTTGACGGCCACATACGGAGGACCACATATGTTGACGGCCACATACGGAGGACCACATATGTTGACGGCCACATACGGAGGACCGCATATGTTGACGGCCACATACGGAGGACCGCATATGTTGACGGCCACATACGGAGGACCACATATGTTGACGGCCACATACGGAGGACCGCATATGTTGACGGCCACATACGGAGGACCGCATATGTTGACAGCCACATACGGAGGACCGCATATGTTGACAGCCACATACGGAGGACCGCATATGTTGACAGCCACATACGGAGGACCGCATATGTTGACAGCCACATACGGAGGACCGCATATGTTGACAGCCACATACGGAGGACCGCATATGTTGACAGCCACATACGGAGGACCGCATATGTTGACAGCCACATACGTTACACAGGATGTACAAATTATTTCCGTATCGGGAAAATGTAATAAAAACATTCCGGAATACCTCTGGGCGAGGGTGAATCATCTTTGTTCTTATGTAACTATTTTTATGTAAAATTTTGTTTTGTGGTTTAGACTTACAATGTAATTTATATTTTATAATTTATATTATATATAATTTAATAATTTATATAATTTTTTATAATTTATATTAAATCTTTCAAACTATACCTGCATCGTGTTCAGGGTTAAAGTATACCTGTTGCTTGGTATGTGAGACGCTCAGGCGCCCTTAATAACCCTTAAAACATTTTTTTTTTTAGACCAAGGAAAGGTAATTTAATTTTTTTTATATATTGTATTTGTTTGGAATTTATAATATTGAGTCAAACGCGACACAATTGTAAAGGCTGTCGTTTAAACACGCAAGCCTCCTTGCTCAGTAATGCTTTGCTTTTTTTTAGGGGGGGGTGACATACAAAAACACATGAATGTTTATCTTGAGATGATTTCGGGGCTTTTTAGTGTCCCCGCGGCCCGGCCCTCGACCAGGCCTCCACCCCCAGGAAGCAGCCCGTGACAGCTGACTAACACCCAGGTACCTATTTTACTGCTAGGTAACAGGGCTACTCAAAACAATTGAGAAAATTGACAAAAATTATTAACAAAATTCCAAGGCGGAAATCTAAATATTTATTTAAGCAAATAGCTAAGAAAATTATGTGAACAACTGCTTACTTGAACATCTATTGAACTAAATATATAGAATGTTAGCATAAACATCAACAAAAGAACTTCTTCTATAAAAAGTAAGAAGTAATCTCTGCCTCTCCCCCCTCAAAACAAAACAAAAATAATTATATGTGGAACGGAAAAGAGATTTTAGCCTTAGTGTTCACTGCAACCCGTTCAATGAATGTGAATAGTTCATTGAATGGGTTGTAGAAGAACACGGCAGGAACTCTACATTCTGAGCTTGTTCACCATCTTCTGGCCATCCCTATTGGGTAATGGTGATAGTCGTCAGTTCCAATCTCATTTCCAGGATCGGCTTCAGTGGCTGAGTAATTTTTTACCTCAAATCTCAAAGCAATTCAATCAGCAAGGGAAGGTCGACTTTTTTTTTTTTTTTGCTGTCTGGGGGATTTTTCCTTTCAAGAAGTAATGATTCTGCTAAGAATTTAATTTCCTGAAAAATCAGAGTTTTCTGGGAGGGAATTTTCAAAGTTTCTGCAACTTCTGCGTTATTGCAACCAGAGGATAACAACCCATAACATCTAATTTGTGTTTTAAATATATTTATGATACATTTTTTTTGTTTTTTTTTGGGGGGGGGGGGGGGATGACATCTGTAAATTTGCTTCTAGTGTCGAGACCATCACTACACTACCTATAAATTCATGACACTACCGTACAATTGCAAGAAATGACATCATGTACGAGAGACATGACATCATGTACGAGAGACATGACATCATGTACGGGAGACCTGACATCATGTACGGGAGACGTAACATCATGTACGGGAGACGTGACATCATGTACGAGAGACCTGACATCAAGTACGAGAGACCTGACATCAAGTACGAGACACCTGACACCATGTACGGGAGACCTGACATCATGTACGAGAGACCTGACATCATGAACAAGAGACATGGTATCAAAGTAAACTCTTAGACTTCTTTTTTGTTTCGGGGTACATTTATTATTCTAAATTAACACGAGAAACTTCGTTTGCTTTACATTACTCTTGAAGTATATTTGACGAGTCTGGTTCTGGCACACGACTGGTTCTGTAGTCTGGTTCATGAATTGTTTTTTTTTTCGTTCTATTCATCTTCCTCGGGCATATAATCACTCCCTGTCATAGGGGAAACAATATCAATTAATAATAAAAATTATCAGCAGGTTGTAAAGCTGTAATCTCCAGGTAAACACAAACAGGCACATAGTAAACAATTTTGTTCATGATTATATGTAATATAAATATATATTTACAGGCATATTTACCATATTCTTAAATGCCAAATAGTTCTATAAGCCATTGAGATGTATTTCTTTCTTATCTCAATAAACGTACTTGAACTTGAACTTGAACTAGTTCTATAAGGTTGGGACCATTTTCTGTTACATTATACATCACGGTTTAGATTTGAATAATGTAGAACTTATTAGCAACACAAAAATTATGAAAACATTATTAATATACTCACCAAAATCTGAATATCACTAATCATCCTCACTACCTGATTGATAAGCTGGATATTTATCATTAGATTCACTATCTGATTGACTAGCATCATGATCTTCACACAATATCAAATTAACACACTGCAAACCTTGTCGCAGTTCAAAAACTCAAATGGAATCCATACTTGTTGAAAAATGTGTTTTTTTTTCCGACACTAAGATGAAGAGAACTGATTCGTCATAAATGAAATGTCAATGCTAAAAACATTCATATATGTTATTCTTTTTGTTCACAATCAGTGGTGTGTTGCATTATAGCTGCAATATTACAAAGGCTTTACTGTAATTGTAAATAGTTATCACAGAGCAATGTTGATTTTACCCCACGTACTGATTTCCTGAGTCCCTGATCTCTTTGATTTGCCACAACGTACAAAATAAGGGGGCACTAAAACGCACAGGCATATAATGCGTGAATATATGTGGGACATTGTTTTTTCATAGTACCCCCATTATTTTGTTCGCTGGGGGGACTAGAGCGTACACAATGAGATGAACTAGTTGAGAGGACGGCTTAATTTTTTAGTAATTTTTTTTTAAATTAGTAAATTTAATTTTTTTTTAATTTTAAAAAATTTATTTTTAAATATATACATTTAAATAAATTTAAATAAATTAAAAAAAATGAAATTAGTAAAATTTAATTTTTTTAGTAAGCCTGTTTTCATGCCAGACGCCACCGACCCCAATACCATTGAAATTTGCTCAATAGATCGTAACAAAATCGCGTCGTTATTATGTATCTGACATTCACTTTATTGTTTTGTAATAATATACAATATTTTTCTCAGAAGCAAGGAGAAGATCATATTACAACCAATTTAAATGGATAATTGCATACAACCAGTAAAGATCTTCCACGTAGAGATGCATCGACTATCAGGGCCTGACAGCTGAGTGAACAGCGCTTCGGATTCGTAGTCCTGAGGTTCCGGGTTCGATCTCTGGTAGAGGCGGAAACAAATGGGCAGCGTCTTTTTCACCCTGGTGCCCCTGTTACCTAGCAGTAAATAGGTACCTGGGAGTTAGACAGCTGCTACGGGCTGTTTCCTGGGGGTGTGTAACAAACAGGAGATCTGGTCGAGGACCGGGCCGCGGGGACGCTAAGCCCCGAAATCGTCTCAAGATTACCTCGAGCACTGTTTCACTCTGTCGTAGCCTATTTTGTGTTGGACTTACGGCCTATCAACCTCTCGAGGGTTATTAAGGCCGCCACAATACCTTACTGACCAACCAAAAAGTATACGTTAGTCCTGCACTATGTTCAGGACCAAAGTAAACTCTGTGTATATACACCGAAAACTTGAGTACACCTCTCGATACATATATATATCCCATAATATAAATCGAGAGGTGTACTTTTAATTCAATACTTAAAAATAAAAGTTGAATTCGTTTCTTGTCACTTTTCAGAAGTAAAAAAAAACTAATTACGTCACAGCAGGTGTATGCTTGTATTTATTGTCGGTATAAATATATAAGGCTTAGTAAAAATGATATAAATATTATATATATATTTTTTTTGTAGTTGTAAAAATGAACGAGAGCGGAGGAGTGGCGGCTGCGAGGCTACAGTAATGTAATATTCATGTTGTTGCTCTTAATGCCCTTAACGTTTCACCCTCAGCACCAAAATGTATCTTTTTTTTTTATGGAGGAAAATGTGGCAGACAGGTTTCATATACTGCTTGAAGAGTCCAGCAAAACAGTGAGAGAAAGAGAGTAGAAATACTCAATGACTATAAAAGAAATGAGAGAAAAAGTAGGAGAGTGAGAGAGAGAGAGAGAGAGAGAAAGAGAGAGAGAGAGAGAGAGAGAGAGAGAGAGAGAGAGAGAGAGAGAGAGAGAGAGAGAGAGAGAGAGAGAGAGGGAGAGAGGGAGAGAGAGAGAGAAAGAGAGAAGAGGGAGTAGAAAGAAATATTACTCAATGACTATAAAAGAAATGAGAGAAAAAGTAGGAGAGAGAGAGAGAGAGGTTAAACCTCCGTGCTATAGTGGTTAAACACTAACATCGCAAGCGAGAAAAGCCGGTTCGAATCCTGATCACCGGACCTGGATATACAATGATTGTCGGATCGTATTTTGGTGTAATCGAGTAGCGTAAATCTTTAAAACGAGGAACTCTTTTTTTTTTTTTTTTCCTGCTGGCCAGGAGTAAACAAAAAAAAACTTGTGTTCTCGTACTCTCCGGGGTGCAAAAACAAAACAAAAAGTCCATTTAGGAAATATGGAGTTTCTTCGAACTGGAAAATAAGGAGTCGTTCTGGATAGTAAAGAGTCACTTCGCTTTGCAGAATAGCGAGTCAGTTTCATCTGGGAAATAAAAAGTGTTTTATGCTCCATAATCATTACTGAGAACGAAATTAGACATCATTCGACATTTGCTACTTATTTTCAAAAAGCTTGAGTCAGTTTTATTTCATATAATCACGAGATAACATTTATTAATATTTTCTCGAAACCCAAATGCATTTTTATCAAAACAAACATAATATAGGTTTTTATTCTCTATTTTTACTTTGATTTCATACAGCTGGGCATTTTATTTTAACTGTTAATTCCCGGGGTTTGTTTCTAATTCTGTGTTAGCGCCAGTATCACAGCTCAGGCCAGGTAGGAAGCTTTGGAGACTTTTCCACTCCTAGAGCTTCCAATTCTCAGGTGTACGGGAACTGTGGGTGATTTCTGGAGCTTCCAGTGCTTAGGTGTACTGGTCGGAGGCTCCGGAAACTGCGAGTGAATCCTTGAGCTTCCAGTACACAGGTGTACGTGTGAGAGGCTACGAGTGGCTCCTGGTACTC